TCAAAAAAAAATAAAAATATTAGCTTATAAAATATTTTTCGTTCATCATTAGAAGTTTTATTCAATTCTTACTAGTTTATCAAGTGTATTAACATGATCATAAACTGAGTGTCATAATTAATTAAAAAAAATTATTGAGAACCAACGGGGAGGGTTAATTTTGGTAAGTATGTAATATATTTTTTCTTTATTTCATCTCTACTTTTAACTTAAAACGCGTATAAATTTTTTTTATTTAATTTATTTAAATTGTTTATAATTTTCGTTTTTTAAAAAAAAATAATCAAATCAATGATAATAACATTGAATTAGTCTATAATGAATATAGATAAAATAAAATTAGTGTAATGCGATAATATTTTAATAGACATTAAATAAATTATATATAATTATTTTTCAAACTACTTTTTATGTATTTATTTTTTATTAATTGGTAATTTTGTCGAAATCAAATAATTTTACATTTAAAAAAAAAAAATCTTTTGATAGAGATGAACTTGCATTCTCGTATGTAAATGTATATAAAAGTTTGCAAGCTCATTGACAGAGTGATTGTAACTCAATCTTCCATTGTTTTTTATAACATCATATGGATCAAAGGCATCACATAATGCTGCAACCAACTGTGGTTGCAAGGAAAGCCAGAGTGATCCCAACATCCAGTGCTTGAAAAGTCTCTATCCACCCAATACGCTCGTTGACCTGAAAGTACAAATCAAATTAATCCTTTACTTTTTAGTTCATAATGTTGCTTAGATATGAGGGTTATAAAGTATCATATAAAAAATAACCAATTAACTTACCCATATATGTAAATATAGAAAATTATTATTTTAATTCTCAAACTAATGTTGAATATACATGTTTTCAAATAATTGTATATATGAATTTGAAAAATATCAAATTATCAATTATGGATTTCATGCTTGGAACTAATTGAATTGTTTGTTAAAATTTATAGTTTATATTTGTATATATACTTGATTCAAGTATTTTAAATATCGTAATACTTAAAAAGAAAATCTTAATTGTTTGATTATTATCTTTATAGAACTTTCGAAACTAAAAATAATTAATCTATAATTTAGTATAAGTAGTTTTATGAGAGAAATATCTCACCCTCCGAGATGAAGCTTCTTCTTGTTCTGGTTGTGCATTAATTACCTGCAATTAGATCTAGCTTTTGTTAATTGGCTTAAATTAGGATAGAGTAACTAATATTTATTTGATCAATTTGTAATTAATGAAGTTTAGAACTGAAACCCATTAATATATATATATATATATATGTGTGTGTATATTATTTTGTGCGCACCATAGGCGGCTTGTAAAAATTATTTGTATTTTTTTCAGGTAATAGATACATGTGTAATTAAATTACCTGGAGATTGACATTAGCAGCAGGCGCATGATGAGAAGACGATCTTTTACAGTGGAGCAGCGTGTAGTTGTCGACGAAAATGTCATGGTGGCTATGGTAGCGATGCACCGCTCGCTGCTGATAGCACCGCACGCAGAGATCGCAAGTACCGCCGGCGCCGCCCCGAGCAGAATCATCAAAGCAAGTGACGCACGTGAAGTACAGACCTTTGAGCCACAACCTGCAATTCTGACACCAAACATTCCTAGTCTTGACGATGTAATAGAATGTCAGAACTTCGTAGAAATCCAGTGCGCCGTCTCGATTTTTGTCGAGTTCCAAAAACATGTTGGGATGAACCCAGTGATACCCCCTCTGGTTCAGGAAATAAATGAACTCGTTGTAGTTTACCCGGCCATCGCCGTTCCGGTCCATCGACCGGAAAAACCTGTGAGCTTGACGTTGAAGCTCCGGCTTTAAGTTGTTGTAGTAGCCTATGGCTGCCTCTCGCATTTCTTCCATATAGTGTTTTGCCATTTGATAATTCAGTATTTTTCACACCACTCTCCTCCTTACACCGTTGTTCTATTTATACGACACCGTTTTTATTTTATTTATTAATATTGGTAAGTTTGGAACCGGTCCAAAATGTTAATAAATTTAAAGATGAAGTACCTACAAATTGTCACCAATTGACATTAAGTTGCTTTTAATATTAACAACATGTATTTTCTTAATTTATAACCTAGTGTCTCATAAAACAATTAATTACATTTTTAAAAAAACATTTTAATGAATGATTATAAAAAATTAACATAATTTTCGAATGAGACAATTTATAGTTCAAATTGTATTTAATATTCAGTTAATATGTAACGACCCCGGAAATTTAAATAAAATGTATGCATTAAAAATCTCAAATACGGAAGAGTAA